ATCAAAACAGAAAAATCACAAATATAAAGAGTGACACTGATGATTAGAAGATCAGTGCACCATAAGGATATAAAAATTCATAATGAATTTCAACAGAAATATGTCATTCTTTAAGGAATACATATAAATGTAGACAACATAAAATCAGTAAGAATTAAAACAATTTGAACAAGAGTTTATAGAGAGAAAAAAATACAACTATAAAATTCATAATTTCTAGTGCACATCAAATATTCAGAAAAATTGACCATATGCTAAAAAATGCAACAAATCTCAACGAATTTCCAAGACTGAAATTAAACAAACCATTTTTGTAATTATATTAAATACCAGTGACAAAATGTTAACTGGAATGTTTCTCTATGACTTCACCAGCGAGTTCTAACCAAGATCCAAGGAAGAAATAATTCTAATAATTTTCCCCTTTCAGAAGAAGGAAACGATCTCCAGCTCAATTTATAATCTAATCAGTATGTTAGTCATCTTTCTGTTGCTGTAACAAAATACCTAAGAAAATCAACTTAAAGAAGAAAAGGTTTATTTTAATTCATGGTTTTGGAGATTCCACTTCATGGTCATTTGGTAGTGTCGCTTTGGGCCTTTGGTGGATCAGAACCACATGGCAGGGGTGCATTTCAAAGATCTTTTCACTACATGGTGGCTACGAAGGAAAGACAGAGAGGAATGAGCTGGGGTTCCAGCATCCCCTTTAAGGACATGCACCCAATGACAGATCTTCCTTCTGCTAGTTCCCACCTGTACAATGTCCCAACAGTGCAACAGGCTGGCAATGAAGCCTTTAGAATATTGGTATTTGGGCATTTAAGATCTAAACTATAATGATCTGAAACCCAACAAGGATAATAAAGCTTCAAACCAATTCTACTTATGAACATAGATTTAAGAAATACATACTAAATATTAACAACAAAATTTAGATATATATTAAAATTATAGTGATCATGATTTAGATTCCCACTACAACCCTCACACCCAAATGTAATATTGGTTTAATATTAGAAATAAATAACTATATTAATATAATATTAGAAATGAATTAATTAACAGATTAAAAGATGAAACCTACAAAAATCCTCCAGAAATGTAAAAAAGCCAGTATCAACTTATGACCAAAACAAGTAAACAAACAAAACTGTTTTGGCAATCTAGAAATAGAAAATCACGTAACATAATCAAAAGTTCCTATAGGTACTGGGGCTGTAGCACTCAGAGCACTTGCCCAGCCCCTGTGAGGCACTAGGTTTGATCCTTAGTGCCACATACAAATAAACAAAATAAAGGCATGCTGTTCATCTACAACTACAAAAAAAATTTTCTACAAATATCTTAAAATATGGTCAAAACTTTCTCTTTGAAATCAGCAATAAGATAATGATGGCTGTTACTACTTTTATTCAGCATTAAGAGAGAGAAATGGCCTAAGAATAAGAAAGTGTATCATATTTATCACTTCATTATAAGTCATATTAAGAGGTTTAAAACAACAAACCCTTTATACCTCACCTTTTCTGTACATCAGGAATCCAGGGACAGCTTAGCTGAGTCCTCTGGCTGGGAGTTTTTCAAAAGACTAGAGTCAAGCTGTCAGCTAGGGTTAGAGTCACCTCAAGGTTCAAGTAAGGGAGGACCCACTGCCAGAATCACTCACAGAGCTGTTGACAGACCCACGTCTTCACTGATTAGAGGCATTAATTCTTTGCCAGATGGCCTTGGTACATGGCCCATAACATGACAGCTGGCTTTTCTCACAACAAGATGGAAGCCAGGGTCTTATGGAACCTAGTCTCAGAATTGATATCCCACCACTTTCTATCAGTTGAAAGTATCACTTGGGCCAATCTACACTTAAGGAAAGGGGATTATCCAGGGCACTAAATATCAGGAAGCAGGGATCACTGGGAACATTCAGATTCTGTCTACCACAAAAAGGAAGAACAAAAACTATCAGTGCTGATATGTAACAAATGTAGAAAATCAAACAAAAAAGTTACACTACATGTTTATAATTAATAAGAAAGTCTAGCAAAGTTACTTGACACGCACACAAAAACAAATACTAAGAGCAAAAAACTTAAGAGCAAAAAACCCAAATAACCCAATCAATAAACAGGCAAAAATTCTGAATAGCCACTTCACAGAAGAAATACAGTCAACAAATATATGAGAAAAATGTTGAAGTAATTGAAGAAATGCAAAGTAATTGAAGAAATGCAAAGTAAAACTACACTGAGATTCCATCTCCAATAACAATTATCAAGCATACAAGCAACAATAAATGTTGACAAGAGATGTGGAAGAAAAACTTACCCTCATACGTTGCTTTTGGGACTGCAAATTGGTGCAACCACTCTGCAAAGCACTATGGAGATTCCTCAGAAAACTTGGAATGGAACCACTATTTAACCTGTTATCCCACTCTCAGCTTATACCCAAAGGAGTTCATATTAGCATATTACACTGACGCAGCCACATCAATGTTTATAGCAGCTCAATTCACCATAGCCAAGCTATGGAACCAACCAAGGTGTCCTTCAACAGATGAATGGATAAAGAAAATGTGGTATATATACACAATGGTATATTACTCGTCATAAAGAAGAACAAAATATGGTATTTGCCAGTACATGGATGGAACTGGAGTCTATCATGATAAGTGAAAAGGCCAAATGTTCTGATATGCAGATGCTAACACAATAAGTGGGAGTTGAGGGGGAACTTGGTATTAGATTACACAAAGGGAAAGAAGGGAAAGGGGGACAGGAATAGGAAAGACAGTAGAATAAACCAGACACAACTTTTCTATCCTTGTATATGAATATGTGACCATTGTAACTCCACATCATGTTCAACCACAAGAATAGGATCATAATTAGAATATGTCATACTCTATGTGTATATAATATGTCAAAATATACTGTCACGTATATCTAAAGAGAAGAAATAAAAAATTTAAAAATGCCAGTTTTATGCCACATACAAGCAGTAAACAGAAAAAGAAAACTGCAAAACAACATCAATAATAGGATTAAACATCAGTTATCAGTTGAACTGAAGCTAGGGAATAGGTACTATTTTCTTTATTCTTTATATAACTGAAAATTTTGAGTTCTTAGGAGCAAATCTCACAAAAACTTTACAAACCTTTACAGAAAAATGTAATATTTTCTCATTAAATAAATAGAGGGATATACCATGAACTGGAAGGCTTAACATTGTAAAGACAGCAATGATCTCCAAATTGATTTATAGATTCAATGAATTCCAATCAAAATCTCAACAAGGTGTGTGTGTTGTAACTGAAATGCTGTTAAAATTTGTACAAAAGTGAAAAAGTCCAAAAGTATATGGACACCGCTATACACCTCACATTGATGATTCAAAGTCTGACAATGGTATGTTTTGGTGAGGATGTTCTGCAAAAGAAGCTCTTTGATAATGGAAGTGTGCATTTGTACAACTGCTTTGGGAAATTACTGTTACCTATTATAAGTTTCATACTTAGGTGGTGGAGATGTTTTTGGTCTTTCCACAAGTATGTCAAACTTTTTAAAAAAGGAATCATAAAAAAGAAAAGAAAGGTAATAATCACATATACTTCCAAAGATGAGCAATAGAGAGAATATTTTGGAAAATAAACTCTGCCATAAAGGGCAAATAGAGCAGAAAGTAGAATCATTCTTTGCAATGTCTGAAAGTGAATCCTGAAACACTAAAAATAACCAATTGCATTACATATTTGGAATGAAAGGTGGCACTCAAACTAATAGGAATACTTTTATCCATTTTTTTTTTAAATGAGGAAAAATCTCTGTCAACGGCTGAAGGCGGTCTGCTACAAGAGAACAGCAATAGATCTCAAGTGTGACGAAAAATCAGCCCAGACTGTACCACAAGCCAATTACTAGGTGTTGTCCTTAGCTTTCTGGGTAATGGCTCTCAGAGGAAGCCTTCCACATGTCCGTGATCCAAGTGCTCCATTATTTTGCAAAAGGGCAAAGCGAAGCAAAGCAAAAACCAAACAAATGGGGCTGAGGGTGTGTGTGTGTGGGGGGTGCCTTTTAAAGGCTAATACAGAAGCCCAAATCTCACTTATTTTCCTACAGAAATAAATGACTGATGTAAGAATATTAACAAAGGCATTTAAGGATGCTCTCTAACCAATCTAAATATGTGCAAAAAAAAAAAAAAAAAAGGAAAACACTATGTATGGTATTTAAAAAAAACAGCATTTATTTACATTCCAAAGGACAAAGAAACTTTGAGAAAAAATATATTTATAAAGGAAGTAGTCTAATTTTGCTTAATCCATTTATGTTTTTCACAAAAACATTTATGAAAAAGAAATGTATAACAAAGACTTAATTTAGAATTATAGGTCTAAGGATGCCCAAAGAATTTGTCCAATTCAATCTTATGACTCTAGATAATTTTGAAATTATATCATTGCTGGCAAATGAAAACCTCCTCCACTTTTATGTAAAGCCCCCTAATTACATGTTATAAAAGACCCATTTTTTGTAAAATCTGTCAGAGCATCCAACAAACCTGCAATAAAAGACACAGCTATCAAAATATAGGACATTCAACATTTTTCTTTGCAACAATGAAAAGTGGGATTTACACAGGAGAAATCACGTGGGTCAACAGCATCACAGTAACAGTATCCAGGGTCTCTTGTTCAAGTATATACACCTTTCTTAAGACCTGGTTATCACAAAGATATCAGTAACTAGCATGTACACACACAAGTATTTTACAAACATCATGATAACAATAAAAAGATAAAAATATTTTTTAAAAAATATTTACTTTTTTAGGTGTAGATGGATACAACACAATTCCTTTATTTTTATATGGTGCTGAGGATCGAACCTGGGTCCGGCCCATGTGAGGCGAGCACTCCACTGCTGAGCCACAATCCCAGCCCAAAAGATAAAAATATTTTACCTTAGATTCTGTAACAACTTCAAGCCTGTATATTCGATTCATCATCTTTTATTGATTTGTACAACTTTAAAAATAGCATGAATTTTATAAAAATACTGACAATGGCTCAACATTTTAAAAGTCAGACAATCTGTATGTACACTTCAGTAGTCTGTATGTCGTGCTTTTCTTTCTTCTGCTCGCATTCAAAACAGCCACCGCCACAGAGTCTCTAAGCAGTGTCCCTGCAGAAGCATCACATTCGAAAACTTCTCGTTCTTTGAAATGGCTGGAAAGGCTTTCTCAGTGCCCACATGAGCAGCTGTGGTTTCGGTTTGTGTTTTTCAGGAAAGAGAAGCGCTTCGCTTTCTGGCGTAGGAAATCGTTCTTGATAGACTTCAGGATAGGATCTCTGAAACTAAACAAGAGTCAAAAAATTATAGAAGAGCCAAGAAAATTGGGCAAGTTTTAATGAAGAGTTTCTGACCCCATACTTCCCTGTTTTAATTTTTGTTAAATCATTCCATTTTGATGTCTATAGATCAAATTCATCTTTCCTTTGATCCAATCTTTGAACGAAGTTCTCCTTTTAATCATATTTCTTAAAATTTTTCCCACTGCCAACAATAAATAGACCTCACTTAAAAAATATTCACAAGTAACTCTGACTGGAAAATAACTTATGTCCTAAGCAGTTAAGGAAAATTTGGGCCCAACTGTATTTCCCTTTCTTCCTGCTTCTCCAACTCAGTCCCACCGAAAGAGAAATTAGGAAAACTATTCTACTCACAATAGCCTCAAAAAATATGTATTTGGGAATCAATCTAACTTTTGTCCAAATGAAAAAGCAACCATTCTGATATACATCGTTTTATGAAAACCTTAAAGGGAGGCAATATATTCTTCCTTTGGTTCTTACCACTGAACTCTTCTCCACAGTCACGGAGAGAAACAACAATGCCTGAGGAACAACAATTTGATAGTGGCTACCTAAAACCAATGGCTTTTAAACTCTAGACATTATGGTTTCAATCTGAGTTAACATTCAAATAAAAAAAATAGAAATCTGCCCTCACAGTTAGCTTCTTTTAGTCATCATTCTGTTGGTCACATCATGCCACTCATCAAAACAAAGGACAAGCATAAGAGAACAGTTCTATAGATGAAGAGTTCAATAATGGGAAAAAAATACCACCCGAGAATGCAGATCTGGGAAACTGGCCACAGTTGTAGAAGCAACAGAACTTCTGAAATATATGAACTGAATAACAAGCTATGGAACCTGCTGTGTCTCAGATGAGAGTCACACAACACTTACCAAAATAGAGATAAAAAGAAGAAACAACCTAAGAAGAGGAAGGAGGAAACATGACTTACGAAGAATGTCCCCATTACCTGCTTCAGTTTCTTCTTCTTCTCTTTGCTGGAGAGTTTGGCATCACCTATGACTTCCTCCAGTAAAGCTGCCAGGGGCTCCTGAGAGCCATAAGCTCTTTGGTATTCGAATTCCTCAGGACTAATTTGACGACAAAATGCAGGAGCAGGTAAAGTGATATCCATATCAGCACCTGGGTATTTTATCTGAGGCAAAGGAACAAAATGTAGTTTAGGTCAATTATGGTGCATATCGTAGTAGGAATAGCATGTCATTTATCAATTTGATTTGGAAAAAGTATATTGAGAAATAAAAATATTTCCATAATTTCAGAGTAATATCATTTTTAAAATCATAGACTTACCTATTTTTTTTACTTGTTTAAATCCAAGACCTATTTTTTTTTTTTTTTTTTTTTTAAGAATCAGGGATTGAACTCAGTGGATTTAACCACTGAGTCAAATTCCCAGCTTTCTTTATTCTGAGAGTCTGTCCTTAAAGTTGCAATCCTCCTGCCTCAGCATTCCAAGTCCCCGGGATTACAGACAACTGCCACCATGCCCAGCCAAGATCCTTCTTATTTTTTATTTATTTATTTATTTATTTATTTGTGGGGATGGAGGTTGGAGGAGGTTAACTGGAAATTGAACCCAGGGATGCGTAAATACTGAGCTACACCCCCAGCTTTTTTTTTTTTTTTTTTTTTTTGAGACAGGGTCTTAGTCGGTTATTAAGGGCCTCCTTAAAATTGTTGAGGCTGGCTTTGAAATAGTGATCTTCCTGTCCAGCCCCACAAGCTGCTGTGATTATAGGCATGTACCACTGCACTCGGCATAAACAAAAAAATCTATGCTCTCTTTATTTAAGGATAAATTAAACATAATGACTAAACAATTCAAACAGGCATAAGTTCTCTTTCACCACTTCTATTCAACATAGTCCTTGAAACTCTAGCTAGAGCAATTAGATGAAAGAAAGAAATTAAAGGATGAGTAGGAAAAGAAGAGCTCAAACTATTTCTACTTGCCTATGACATGACGACCCAAAGCTTCACCAGAAAATTTCTAGAACTCATAAATGAATTCAACAAAGTAGCAGGATACAAAATTAACACCTATAAACAAACTGTGTTCCTATAAATCAACCGGAAGAGAAATTAGGAAAACTATTCTACTCACAATAGCTTCAAAAAATGTATATTTGGGAATCAATCTAACAAAAGAGGTGAAAGATCTCTACAATGAAAACTACAGAAAATTAAACAAAGAAATTGAAGAAAACTTCAGAAGATGGAAAGATCTCCCATGCTCTTGGATAGGAAGAATTAATATTGTCATAATGGTCATACTACCCAAAGCACTTACAGATTCAAATTAAAATCCCATCGTTATTCATTATGGAAACAGAAAAAGCAATCGTGTAATTCATTTGGAAAAATGAGAGACCCAGAATAGCCAGAGCAATCCTTAGCAAGAAGAGTGAAGTAGGAGGCATCACAATACAAGACCCTTAAACTATACTACAGAGCTATAGTAATAAAAATGGCATGGTATTGGTGCCAAAATAGACATGTAGACCAATGGTACAGAACAGAAGAAACAGAGACAAACCCACATAAATAGTTACCTCATACTAGACAAAAGCATACATTGGAGAAAAGATAGCCTAGTCAACAAACTGGGAAAACTGGAAGTCCATTTGTAGCAAGATGAAATTAAACTCCAGTCACCCTGCACAAAAATCAACTCAAAGTGATCAAAAACTTAGGTACTAGAAAAGAGGCCCTGTGCCTGACAAAAGAAAAAGTATCCCACTCCTTGGTATATACCCAAAGGACTTAAAGTCAGCATAGTACAGTGACGTAGCCAAATCTTCATCATGTCAGCTAAGGACCAGAATTCCTTAACAAGACTCCTAAAGAGCAAGAAGTAAAATCAAGAATCAACAAATGGGATGGTTTTAAACTAAAAAGATTCTTCACAGCAAAGGAAACGATCAAGAACACAAAGAGGAGGCAAATAGAATGGGATAAAATCTTTGCCACCTGCACCTCAGATAGAGCATTAATCTCCAGGATATACAAAGAACTCAAAAACTTAACACCAAAAAAACAAATAACCCAATCAATAAATAGGCACTTCACAGAAGAAGAAATACAATCAGTCAATAAATATATAAAAAATGTTCAGGGGCTGGGAAGAGAGCTCAGTTGGTAAAGTGTTTGCCTTGCATGCACAAGGCCCTGGGTTCAGTTCCCAACACCACAAAAAATAAAAGTTTAAAAAAAAAAAGGTAAATGACACAAAATGAAATTTAAAAACAAAATGTTCAAAACTCTAGCAATTAGAGAAATGCATCTAACGAGATTCCAGTCAGATTGCCAATTATCAAGTATACAAGTAATAATAAATGTTGGTGAGGATGTGGGGGAAAATATACCCTCATGCATTGCTTATGGGACTGCAAGTTGGTGCAACCACTCTGGAAAGCAGTATGGAGATTTCTCAGACAACTTGGAATGAAACCATCATTTGAGCCAGTTATCCCATTCCTTGGTATACACCCAAAGGAATTTAAATCAGCATTCTAACTACAGTGACGTAACACCCTAGCACTTCAACTCACAATACCCACACTATGGAACCAACTTAGAAGCCCTTAAATATGAATGGATAAAGAAAATGTTGTATAAATACAGAATGGAATATTCCTCACCTGTAAACAATGAAATTATTATATTCTTCAGTAAATGGACAGAACTGGAGAGTATCATGCTAAGTGAAATAAGCCAATCCCAAAAAACCAAAGGCTGAATGTTCTCTCTGATATATGGATGCTAACACATAATAGGAGTGGGGAAGGGAAGAATAGAAGCTCATTGGTTTAGACAAAGGAGAATGAAGGCAATGAGATGGAAATAGGAAAAACAGTAGAATGAGTCGGATATAACTTTCCTATGTTCATATATGAATACACAACTAGTGTAACTCCACACCATGTACAACCACAAGAATGGGAAGTTATACTCCATATATGTATGATATGCCAAAATATACTTTACTGTCATGTAGGTCTAAAAAGAACAACAACAACAACCTCCCCCCAAAAGGTATAATGTTTAACACACTGAACCACACAGGCTCCTCCCATATCTGGAGGGTCTAATTATCCCTCCCTCAGGAATGGATAGAAATTGGCCCTTAGACAAGCAATTAGGCAGAGAAAGGTACCATGACCATCCCCTCCTGCATTACTATTGAGAGTCAAAAAGGGAGGGGGGGAGAATAAGAAAAAGGAAACCAAGGTCTGTGTATAAATGAACATTCATTAAAAACACTAATTTCAGAGCACCCTATTGTTATTCTGTATTCCCACTATTTTATTCATTCTTTCATTTTTTTCATTTGGCTTAAAAAAAATTTCCCCCACCAGAAGCCACAACTAAAAATAAGTCTATTGCCAAGAGGGGTGATTACATTAAGCATATCTCATGCCTAAAGATAGTTTATAAGATCAATTAGACCAGTCTAAGGCAGACAGATTGAAACCATAGAGCAAAGGGCTTACAGGACATGCCTTTTATTTTTATTTTTTCATTTGAATTACAGGAAAACCAGAAAAGAGCCAGGATAAAGGGTGAGGTCTAGGTAGACTGCAACAGCCGTAAACCTAGGGCATGAGAAAAACTGAGACACCTAGGATTGAAGGGCTCAAGGACAGGGTTGTAGACCAGGTCAGCAGAAGGCTGATGTCAAAAACATTGCCCACCTCACAGTTTGTCCCAGAGTCAGCCCAGAAACTGCCTCCAAACAATTCACTGGAATAGTCCAGTCTACCCTGTGCATTTTCCGAGAAGTCCTACTCAAAGGTGATGTGACACAGAGGTTTAGTGGCCTCTTCAAGGCCTCTTGTGATCTATAGGCTCTCATGCTTGACAGTTCTATTGAGGTCTTCCAAGAGAGAAAAGGTAATTGGACAATTGAGTGGATACTGATTTTATTCAGTGCACATCACAGTGGCTCTTGACAAGATCATGTTTACTCACAGCTAAATTAATCATCATGGCTCAGCTTTCCAATCTTCAGGTGACAGGACAGGGTTCATGAGGCCAAGCTGCTGCAATATATGCCTGGGCTATATATGTCGATGCAGTATACAAAGCAACATAGTTCTCCATAACAATTCCTTGCAGATATTCAGCAAACCATTTTTTTTTAATTTTTACTTTTTTAAAGTTTGGTTCATAAAAATATTGGCAAAAAAGATTAAAACATTAGTAAGAGTGTTCTTTTTATCCACAAAAAAATGGTCAATGTTGTATGTATGTATGTTGATAATATACAAAGAAGGCAAAGGTGCAAAGAAATGAACGCTTTCTTATGCCACTGACACAAATGTAAATTAAAACAAGCAAAAGAGGAATCTGGCAATATCCTATCAATTCTTATAAAATGGTTTATGATCTTTGACCAAGTACTGCTGTGCCTTAGAAAATAATCATGGATCAGGCAAAAATAATCTAGCTATGAAAATATTTATTACTATATTGCATGCAAAACAGGAAAAAATAATAAAGACAATCTAAACATCAACCAGAGGGCATCATTTAAACGAGCTATGATATGTTCCCATTATGGAATACTGTGCTACAGTAATGACAATAATGACACAGCAATGACAACAACACAACAACAACGGCAGCTACTAATGAAAGGTTTATTTTGTGACAGACATTACTGTAAGGACTGTACATGTATTGAGCTATTTGATTTCCAACACAATTCTATGAGACAAGAATTGACTATTATGATTCTCATTTATAGATTAAAAAAAAAAAACAGAGGTTGGGGTAGATGTTGAACCAGAGTGACATTATGTAATTTGCCTCAGGCCACAAAGCTAATAAAAGGCATGTCCTGAATCAAACACATTTAGCTCCAAAGTCTGTGCTCTTGGACACTCTGGTGTCAGTCAAGAATATTTAATGATGTGAGGAATTTTTTTATTGTATTGTTAAGTAAAAGAAAGTAAGTCACAAAACAGAAAAGAAGGGAGGGATAAAGGCAGGAAAGTAGGGAGAGAAGGAGAAAGGGAAAGAGGAAGGAAAGAAAGACACAAAATACCTGAAAGACCATAATACTAACTATGAACATTTTGGTATAACTGCTATTTTCTGATGTATTGATGTATATTTCCCAAATTTATTCAATATAGTATGTTGATAACCACACAGCACTGATTTATACAACAAATCTAAGTAGTCATTTCATAAATTTTTCAATAATAGCAAGCACATTTAGTCCTTACTATATACCAAGACTTGTACCCAGAAGCCTAGTAACGTAACATGACTTTCCACTGCAAATTTCACAGGACAGACAATATCCCCTATTTTACCTGGACTCTTCGTAGATGAGCCACACGCTCCTCTATAGAAGTCTGCAAGGCCAAAGGGACTTTGAGAATCTCTTGGTAATTGTCCATCAGAAATGTCACCAACCTAGCAGCCAATAACTCATCCAAGTCTACTTCATCCTTGGAACACAAGATGCAACGGGAAAATGTCTGAACCATCTAAAGGCGGGGGAGGGGTAAGAAAACACAGATGAGCTGGTTCTTTTGTCCTCTGAACTAAGTGCATCTAGTTTGCACAAAGAAGAGTGACCTCTCACCAGGTAGCTGGCCATAGGTGCTGACTGTCTCAAAAGCAGTAAAAACAAGTCTATATCTCCTGTTTAAAAGACATGGTAGAGGGATGTATGTCCAAGTAATTTCTGAAAATTACTATCACCATGACTTGGATCATATAACACTTATTTTTATTGGTGCATATTAGCTATGTAGAATGGGGTTTTATTGTGAATATTGTGACATATTTGTATATAAATAAAAACACTTTGAATTTCAAAGTACTTTATAGTCATTTAGTCACTTAATATCCTAATATAACTCTTGATTTTTTTAAGAGACAGAGAGACAAGAGAGAGAATTTTTTAATATTTATTTTTTAGTTTTCGGTGACACAACGTCTTTATTTATTTTTATGTGGTGCTGAGGATCGAACCCAGCGCCCCGCGCATGCCAGGCGAGTGCGTTACCACTTGAGCCACCTCCCCAGCCCACTCCTGATTTTTTTAAAGCAAAAATTTTATAAATGTTTATTATTTCATTATTGATTTTGTTTTAAATCATTACATCTTCTCCTAGTTAACTTATTTCCTCTAGGATTTTGTTTGTACATTTGACAATTGCCTTTGAACAAACTAATGGGACTTTAAAAGAAGTATATTAAGTGATGAAATTCTCTTTATAGTAACCAGAAATATAAAATATATATTTTCACAGAATTTATACTAATGACTCAATTCTCAATATCATCCTCCACTAGAGAGGATAATAAAGGTATTGCTGACAATTTTATTTCAAAATCATAATTCTGTTGAATAAGACTTGATTTCCTCAACATATTGCAAATGATACCTTATCTTCACTTATATTTATGGATACAAATAGACACATAGATGGAGTTGTTTTTTTTTTTAACATGGAAACCATGGATCACAGGGGATTTGTGAATGCCCTCAAACTATATGCAAATTTTTACACATATATTCTTATAGTGAATAGATGCAAAGTTTTCTTCAACTTTTCACAAAGGCCCATCAGCCCCTCACCACCAAAAAAAAAAAAAGAGGTCAAGAATCATTCCATAAATCAGACATGATGGAGCATGCCAATAATCCCAGCCACTTAGGAGGTTGAGGCAGGTTATTCACAAGTTTGAGGCCAGCCTTAGCAACTTAGCAAAACCCTATCTTTTTTTTTTTTTTTAAGAGAGAGTGAGAGAGGGAGAGAGAGAGAGAGAGAGAATTTTTAATATTTATTTTTTAGTTTTCGGCGGACACAACATCATTGATTGTATGTGGTGCTGAGGATCGAACCCGGGCTGCACGCATGCCAGGTGAGCGCACTACCGCTTGAGCCACATCCCCAGCCCAAAACCTTATCTTGAAATTAAAAAAAAAAAAGAAAAAGAAAAGGACGGGGAATATAGCTCAGAGATAAAATGACCCTGGATTTAATCCCCAGGATTTAAAAAAAAAAAAAAAATCACTGCACAGAACATTGAGTGTTCTTCTGATCTTATCCCATCCATACTTCTCTGAAGCTAGGCCAGGGATACCCAAGAAGGGTAGTGGTTACTGGGATATGGAAAGGACATTCAATCCATTGAAGCACCACTTGTGTTCCAGGAATATTTTTGAGGAAAATAAAGAGATTTTTATTAGTAAATTCTAAACGTAAACTAAAAACATGCTGATAGGAGCAGAGTATAAAAGGGGGTTACTAGAGGTTGCAAGAGAGGAAGGGGAAAGGGGAGATGCTCATTAGAGAATATGAAGTTCTTCCAGAAATTATAAGTTTTAGATATCTATTCCACAGTATGGTGATCACAGTTAATGATAACAATAATAATGTGCTATGTATTTCAAAATTGCTAGAAGAATAATTTTAAACATCTCACTACAAAAAAAATAAGTTGGTGGGGTGATGGACATGTTAATTAGCTTGAATTAATCTTTCTACTATATGTGTGTGTGTATACGTATATATATAAACATCACATCATATCTCGTAAGTATATACAATTATTTGTCAAATAAAAATAAATTAGTGTAAAAAATAAATTAGTGTTGATATCACATAGTAGGATTCAAAATTAGTAGGTGTTTTTAAGCAAAACTGAAAAATATTACCACTCACAGACCATTAGACCAAACCAAGAGATACATGTTCTCTCTCCTCCCAGGTTGTCTAGTCAAACTGTAGAATTTATTTCCTCCATTTTTAATTTATTGTATATACTTCATCTCTCTTACTGGTTATAATAACAAAGGCGTTGCAATGCTTACTTCCATGGAGTTAGAAAAAATGTTGTTTGCCTGATAAATCACTTACTCTTTTTATCCACCCTTTGTTCTCTTTGTGTTGACAGTAGGTACCAACTTAAACAAGGATCCAACAGGATGCAGCAGATAACTCCGCACTCAGCATCTGTTCAATACTCACCCTTTGCTTTCCGCAACGTTCTTTAAGACCCTTAGACCAGAAGCACACCACTAGTCTGAGTGGATGGCTGGCATGACTCTTTTTTTTTAAGATTTTTTTAAAGATGGAACATATATCTTTATTTTATTTATTTTTTTAATGTGGTGCTAAGGATCGAACCCAGGGCCTCACATGTTCGAGGCAAGTGCTTTACAGCTGAGCTATAACCCCAACCCCATGGCATGACTCTTAAGCAGGCTGCCTCACACCTTCCGCTGATGGATTTGACTAGTAAACTGGACTCAGCTGAATTTCATTCCAAAACCTCAAGGACCTTAGATACTAATAATCAACCTACCAGTGTCCGGGTCCCAAGGCCTTCACACAGCGGCGGCATCTCTTTGTTTAAGCAGATCCTCGCCATCATCCTCATCAACAGCTGCAGCTTTCTCCTGTTTTCAGGAGGCAGGAGGAGGCAACAAATCTGAAAGGCTTCAACTGCCATTTTCTCTTTCTGTAACAAACCTGATTCAAAAAAGTTTTATCTTTCAAAATCTATAGCCTACTTGACTCTGTACTTTCACATTTTAAAAAAATATTATATTACTAAAAAGTGTATCAAGTCTTTTCACATATTCAACTGTACCTGGCCAAATGAATATAGATCCATCGTTACTCACAAATCAGCACAAAAAATACGATCCATCAACCAGAGATAAAATGTAGAACAAACACAGATATTTCTTCCTCCCACCAGACAGATATCAAAGTTCATAGCACTCTTTCCCACTGAAACACAAGCAGTTCAAATTACACTCATCTAACCCTAGACACTCACACTGTTAATACGTCCAGGATTGCACCAGTAAGAACATGAATGCACCATTGCTGACCCACATTCTCCCCACGAGTTGTTTCCACACAATCAGCAAGGTCACCATCTTGCATGACTCACATACTAATTAATAGGACCAAAGCTCTCACTGCCGGTCCGTTGTCAAATGACTCTGCTTCTTCTTAATAGAATCTGTCAAATAATCCTTCCACTTAGGCTCACCTAGACTTAAATAGGCTGATTAAATCATGTTATATGCCATCCATCCTTGTCTCAGGAATGACTTTGTTAAAAATTAAGGTATTCGAATATTGGGCTCTTTTCAACCATATTTGTCCCTGAACACTCAAATCCAAGCCCTCTAATGAAGTGAAACTGCTTCCACCAAGTTATTTATTATATATGCATCCTTTTCAACTTCTAACTAATCTTTGAATTGGAGGCAAAACCATCTTTAACACTGAATAAATATTTACTAGTCATCTGTGATACACCAGGAACTGTGGCAGTCCTGGAAATGCAAAGATATCCCTGGTCCTTTCCTTTAAAGAGCTGAGGAGAGACCTGTAAGCAAGGGACAAAAATGTGAGAGGTGCTGCATGAACCATTGCTAGTGACATACTAGGAGATTTTAAGTCACTCGCATGACTGCAGCATAGGCTGGGGGTGGGGGGTTGAGGGTTTGGTAGAAGTTAAGCTAGAAAGGTTGGCAGAAATGAAGTCTTAGAAGACCTTAAATACCAGACCAAGGAGCTTGGGTTCCAACCCAAACACAATGGATGTGTATGGAGAGAAAGGGAAAACAGAAGAGCAAGCTTGTCTTTTTCCCCACCCCTCTGTGGTGCTGGGGATCAAACCCGAGGCCATGGCTCATGCTAGGCAAGAACTCTACCTGAGCTACATCCCCAGTCCCAGACCTTTATACACAGGTTCTGATTCTAGATGTACACATGTAGAACTGCTCTCAATTCTACCTAATCAAGTCCATGGATGGAAAAAGGCTTCTGCCTTTTTATTTTATTAGACTCATTTATCTAATAAATATTTATTAAGCCAGTTTATATTCCAGAAACTATTTTAAGAGACAAGCAGTGAGGAATAAAACAAAATCCCTGTGTGGATCCCTGGAGCTTGCTTTCCAACAGAGAGTAGAACAGATCTAGAAAGGTGATGTCAGGTAGAAAGATGCTATGGAGAAAAAAATAAAATAAAGCAGGAAAGGAGCTGGGGAATAAGGGATGAGCTCAGAAAAACACTTCCAACATTTCAGGGAAGACTTCTCTCTAAGGAAGTGACATATGAGCAGATACCTGAAGGAAATGAGAGCAAGCCATGGAAACATTGGAGAAACAAACTTCAAGGGCAAAGAGAGAGCAATTACAAAGATGTGGCATGGGAGTACGCCATAGAGTGTTCAAAGAGCAGAACAAGGAAGAGTGACAGAGGAGTGCGAGGAGAGGACTCCTAATTCCCTGCTCTACTAAATCCCTCATCCTCCCAAGTCCAGGCCCCTACCTCTGGCAGTAGAGGAGCCACCATCAGTAACTTGAATGGAAAAGCCCCAGCTGCCCAATACTGGATGATTATATGGGAGGAGGAAGAAGTGCTTATCCCCCAAATTAAAAGCATAAGATTCCCAACACCTTCTGCTGGAATGTGGCATACATTTTTACCAGAGTGGGAGAAAAACTCACTGTGAATACTAGTTAGGTCTATAACACTATTAGATTTGAACCATAGTTAAGCTACATGATGAATTAAGTAGGTCTCATGAGTTGGTCTTACAATTTAACCATCATTTATAGCTTTGCTTGATGGAGTAGTGCTGAGAGAGGGGAAAAATAGAATGTGTGTTCAGAGCTACCTACTTGGAAAGGTTTAAGGAAAAGGTTTAAGACAAAACCTATTATTTCAATATAACTTATGAAATTTAAAAGTCAATTCATTTCTTCATTCTAAAAGGTATAAAACTTATACTCCCAGCACCTCTTCCCTGGTTGATTCTTTTAACCTCTTAATACACTACAGAATTTACTATTATGTTATTTACCATTCTCTTCCCCCCTGCTGCATTGGAATGAAAGCTCACAATGAGAAGGATATCATTTTCAGTTTTATTTCTATTGATATACCTCCAGCAGCTAGAAGAATGCCTGATATGTCATAGAAACCAATAAATAAATTTTTGTGAATGAATGAATGAATGAGCATATGAATGAAGGCATAAAAATTACTCACCCTTGTTGAGATTTGAATAAGAATAGTGGGTTGAGTAAGCCTCATTATGAATCCTTGAACAAGTCACTTAACCTCCAGAAATCAGTAAAATGTTGAGAACAGTCATAAAAAATAAATTTACTGCACTGCAGTCCATGGGCTATAAAGAGGAGCCCAGGTAAATTAAAAACTTTAATAAATTTGATCATAGCCATTACTACATTAAAGTTTATATTAAAATTAACCTCAGAGGGAAATAAGACATTAATCAGATGCAACTTTTAAATCTGGTTAAGAAATGTATTGTGCACTGATATTCAGGAACAAATTTCACTCTGATCCTCTGTAATGAGAAAGCAAGTAAAATTCTGAAATATCCCAACATAGCTATATCATTGAATAATAAATCATTTATGTCTGCCCTACTGAACCCTAATTGCTTAAACAGTTGCATAACCATATTAAGTAGTATGAAAGAAAATATAAACCTATGCAAACATCACCACATAAAATACTTTTATAAAATTCACCATGTATAACTCAGTCTCTGTCAACAATTAGTACTCTATGGGTCACTGTGTGTCTGGATGATTTTTATTATTGCATTATTATTATGTAACAAAAGATATTCCTGACTCCCTGGTATTAGAAGGTCCTATAACAACTCAAATGTCCTTGCCTTTTTAGTGAAAGAATGTGGATACTTTCATCAGCATCAGTGAGAGAACTATCAAAGCAGTGGACAGCCATTTGATGATTGGCTGGGGATGTGGCTCAGTGGTCAAGTGCTCCTGAATTCAATCCTCAGTGCCAAAAGGAAGAAAGGAAGGGAGGGAGGAAGGAAAGGAGGAAGATAAGTAAACTTTTAATAGAGGTTGTGTATTACTATGCTTATAGCAGAGTCACACACTGAAGTATTAATTAATTAACTGTTATCATTATTCTAAAAGTTATACTAAAAAAAACTACTGCTTTGGCAGCTTCCATTAAAGACACATATGTGATATTTAAAAACTTTTCACTTGCTAACTGATAAAGTAACCTCTTGGCAGAAAATGAGATTTTAAGGACAAAACACGATTGCTCCAATATGATTAGTTTAAATGAATAAAATTTTAAAAATCACTAGGAAAAACACAAAAGGAGTTATGCAATGTTCACAAACAGCAAAGATTATAAATAATATGAAAAATGTCTACAAAGTTTTAGAAATTGAGTAGTAATGATGCAATCACAAGAACCATAACAAATGAATGTCATCTCTAGTTCATTAGAAGATTAATGGGACGTGGATTGAGACCTCTGAAACCATGAACCCCAATTAAATTTCTCCTCTTCTGAGTTGTTCTTGTCAATTATTTTGGTCACAGCATTGAAAAGCTGACTAACACAAGACCAAAGAGTCTGTCTACTGGTGCTCTCTTGCAGTCCGGTCTCTCCATTTCCCAAACCCAGGCAACCTCTGGCCTGCTTTCTCTCTGTAGACTAGATTTCTCTTTCCTAGAGTTTCATAAGATTTCCCTTTCCTAGTTTCATATTAATGGAACCAGATTGTATGTGTTCTTTTTTATTTTAAATTCCCTTTCTTTACCTATGCAACACCGTTTTCCCCCAACTCCCCTAAATCCCTGGCATCTATTGATCTTTGCATGGTCTCCATTGTCTTGTTTTCATAATGTCATATGGTGAAATCAAACATTATAAAGCCTTTCATGCCAACTTCTCTCACTCGGCAATATGCATTTTAATGTTTTTATTAAAGTATTAGAGTTATACATCATGTTGGGGTTTGACATATTTGTACATGACTGGAATATAATTTTGCTCCCCAGTGCTCTTTTGAGTTTGGCTTTACCACTCAACATATTCCTAAGATTTATTTTTGCATGAGGTTTATTTGTGTGTATTCACGGTTTGCTATTTTTATTGCTAGACAATATTATATTCCATCAATACAGCAAAAAATATTTATACATTTACCTATTGATAGATATGTAGTTTCCAATTTGGGAATAATATGAATACAGCTGCAAGTCTCTCTGTAAACATATATAATCTTTTTCTCGTATAAATATATAGAAATGGAATTATATGTATGTTTCACTTATTAGAAATTATGAAACTGTTTTCCAAAGAAATGGTATCATTTTATAGCCCCACCAGCAATGCCTAAGGGCTCCAGGAGCTTCATCTCCTCATCAACACTGTATTGCTGTTGCTTTGATTTGAGCCATTCTAGTGTGTTCACAGCAGTATCTCACTGTGGTTCCAACTTGCATTTCTCAGATGACGAATGACATTGATTAATGATTAGCAAATCACTTATCTCCCCTATAGAATGTCTATTCAAAATTTTTACCCTTTTTATTGTTTTGTTGATCTTATAATGAGTTCTTTATAAACTCTTTATGATGAGTTCTTGACATATTCTGGCTATAAATATTTTGTCATACACATACAATAGAAATATATT